TAAAGTAGAACATACTAAAATATATAATTTTCAAGCAAAGTCGACTAAAAATTCTAAAAATTAAAAACCGTATTTAATCTAATAATATTCCTAAAAAGAGTCAAGGTCGGTAAAAATTGGTGTCAACAGGTAGAAGAATCTTACAGTGGTGTTTTTGATGTCTTGTTATTGTGTAGGTGCCTTATTATCAGTGTTCTTGAGGGTCATTTAGTTATGCTTAGAGAGGTTGTATGGTCGGTCTCTCTTAGTGTTGCTTAAGTGGGTCATAGGATAGATTTTAGTGAGAGACATAATACATACAATATCCACAAATTCTATAGAATTTGAAGATCAGACATGCTCAAAATCATCTGGTCTAACATATAGAATTATTTATTTGAAATATAAGATAAAATGAAATCTAATACAAGCTTTTAACAACACATCACATGTGAAGGATTAAAGCGAAAGATAAAGAATACAACTATTTCACCAAATGGGCAAGGGAAGAGTGACTAATAGGACAGAATTTTTATCAAAAGAAAATATCGTAACAGAATTAGATAAAGTAATTTAAGTAAAACAAACTAGAAAATCATATCTATGAATGATAACACGACATTTCGAGAACAAACAACCATATTCACGAGGAATTGAATTCCGGAAAAGAGGATCGTACCTTGGCGAATCTGAGATTTGCTTCCCAATTTTTGATCGGAGCAGCAACTGTGGCGAGGTCTTGTTGGTCACTGTTTTTGCTGGAGCTTGTTGCGGCTTGTTCTGCAGAATAGAAGGGAGAAAAGGAAAAAAAGAAGAAGAAAGAAACGAGAGGCAGAGAGAGATGAAGCAGCGATGGCTGCCGGCTGTCATCGTCGGCCTGCTGTTGATCGCCTAGCACCTCGCCAGCAATGCTGGTCGCTGCTGTCTCTCGTTGTCCTGCTGCTTCTATTTGCAGGTTGCCTAGCAGCTGTTGGTGGCCTGGGATTGCTACTGTAGCTGCGAAAATAAAAGAAAGAGAGGGAGCGAAGGAGAGGAGCAGAGAGGGGTAGGCAAATGGGGAGGAGAGAGGAAGGGGGAGAGGGAGGAGGAGCCACGGGAGAGGGAGGAGAAGAGGGTGAGAGAAGATACGGGGAGGGAGAAGAGTGGGGTGGTGGCTGGAGAGAGGGACGACGGCTGGGAAGTGAGGGTGGGGCGTCGTCACCTCTGTTCGCCGGAAAATTGGAGAGGAGAGGGGGGGGGCTGCGACGGCTGCTTGGAGAGGTGGGGAGGAAGAGAATGAAGTAAAATTTTAGGTTTTAGGGTCTTTTGGTGTTGAAGAAAGAGAATGGGAGATTTAATCACAACCGTCTGTTTAGATAGAGATGAAGGGTTAGGATTCGATCTAGGATTTATTAATTAAATAGACGGATGAGATAAAAAGATGATTTCTTGAAATTAGATGAGTTAGATACGGAATGGCTAAAATTGCAATTAAAATTGGCTAGAAGTGAAAGGAAGAGATGGCTACGATTGTAATAAAATTTTAATTGGAGTGGCTAGAATTGAAAGAAATTAGAATAAAATAGGCTAGAACTTAAATAATTTTAAGAAAAGTGTAAAATTATTTAAATTTTAAACATTTGAAATTCATTAATAATTTTAAAATATTTTAAAAATGTCTACGATAATTTTATAAAGTAGAACATACTAAAATATATAATTTTCAAGCAAAGTCGACTAAAAATTCTAAAATTTAAAAAACGTATTTAATCTAATAGTATTCCTAAAGAGGGTCAAAGGTCGGTCAAAATTGGGTGTCAGCAGCTGCCCCTTGGTTGATTGAGAATGAAGAATGAATTGTCAGGCAACCAACGTTGACTTAGTAGCCGATTTTGTCCGACCGACTAGAGATGTCAGTTGGATCATTTGAAATGATATAGAGTTGAAAAAGGGTACGATCGAGACTTTGGTTTTAAGTCGCCTACATATCTCTGGTTATACGAGAATTAGGCCGTGTGTAGTTCTAGATTCAAGAGCAAATGAAACTCTTAAAAGTTGAAAGAGCGGTAAGGTATTCGTAAGGCAAGACCTCGGCTTGAATGGATAAGATTAGAGTAGCGAGAAGAGAGAGATTGAGAGGCTAAAACAGCATGAGAGAGAAGCGAGAAGAGCATGATAGAGTAAGGCAATCAACTTTTGGAGCGCGGTTCGGAGTATGAGTAGCAAAGAATTGATAGGGTCTTTGCTGGGATAGATGATAGCATGATAATTGTAATCAAGGGCGATCGATCATATTTGAAAATTCTAGATAAAATGTTAGCTTATAAATAGATAAAGTATGACCAATAATAATAAAATATGAGTTCTATTAAATAGACAAGAGGTGATAAAAAGCGTATCTGTTTGAGACGTACTGCAAGCCTTGATAGTCTGTAACTTCTTGAAGGATTGAACCCATCTCTGAAGAATAACGTCAAACTCTAATAGATTTGATACTATAAAAATATAATAAAATAGACAAAAATCTCCTGTTGTTAGGAGAGTCTAAACGTCATTTTAAGGCGGACGAGCCTAAGGGTCATTTTAAGGCGGACAGCCTAAATATCTTATAAAGCGGACGGATAAATGTCCTATGAGGCGGACAAGCCTAAATGACCCTTTAAGGTGGACGACCTAAATGTCCTATAAGATGGACAAACCTAAATGTCTTTTTAAGGCGGACGAGCCTAAAATGTCCTATTGTAAGGCGGACGAGCCTAGATGTCGCATTGTAAGGCGGACGAGCCTAGATGTCGCATTGTAAGGCGGACGAGCCTAGATGTCGCATTGTAAGGAGGACGAGCCTAGATGTCGCATTGTAAGGCGGACAAGCCTAGCTGAATAGATAGAAAGTCACATTGGCGAGTTGAATCCGAAGATATCTTCATGGTAGCCTGAATAATAGATATGTAGTAAAACGATAGTGCGAGTAGCCAAGAATTTGTCGGAGCCTTTGTTTTGTAAACAAGTGAACAGTCGTTCAAATGGCGACTTTGTCTGTAATCTGCATAACTGTAACTTGTAATAGAGTAATTAGAGCAGAAAAAGTGGTAAATGTAAACATGATGAAATTTCCCATATTGACCATGAATGTTTGCCTTAAGTCCATGCAAAATGACGTCTTAGGCTATGATGTCTAGGGTCATGATATGCAAGGTGTATCCTCAATTCATGAAAATATTGTCTGTAGGCCATGAAAATGATGCCTTTAGACTATGACACCTTCAGATTATAATAGACTGAAATTAAACCCTTAGGCCATAATATGATGTCTGCAGCCATGAGGATGATGCCTTTAGACTATGATACCTTAGGGACATGGTAAGCATAAAATAAGTCCTCAAGCTATGACATGAAGTCCGCACGCCATGAAAGATGACGCCTTTGGAGGATGACGCCTTTGGAATATAAATAATGAGTAAAGAGAGCGTATCTGTTTTTTACATCTGTTGATACTCTTTTGACTTGATTTGATTCGGGCGCATGTAAACTTCGAGCACGGTGCAATCTTGAGCTTATACAAACTTGGGGCATAATACAGTCTCGGGCACAATGCGATGATGCATTTCTTCGGGCACATGCAATATCGAGCACATACAATGATGCATTTCTTCGGGAACATGCAATATCGAGCACAATGCAATGATGCACTTCTTCGGGCACAATGTAATATCGGGCACATGCAGTATCGAGCAAATGTAATGGTGTGTTTCTTCGGGCACATAAAATATCGAGCGCATGCAATAATGCAATTCTTCGGGCATAAGTCAATACTGGGCATATGCGACGATGTATTTCCTCGGGCACATGAAATATCGAGCACATGCAATGATGCATTTATTCGGGCACATAAAATATCGAGCGCATGCAATAACACAATTCTTCGAGCATAAGTCAATATTGGGCATATGCGATGATGTGTTTCCTCGGGCACATGAAATATCGAGCACATGCAATGATGCATTTCGGCATTCTCGGGCATAAAATAATGATGTAGTTACTTGAGCATAGTGTGATATCAGGCGTAGGTGAAAAATGATGCAATATCAGGCATAATGTATTTGTCAGCACAACAGTTGCTTGAGGGCATACAGTAGCTTGGGCGTCCGCCTTATTGGAAGGATCGAGTGTCACATGTCGGGCTCAAATGTGGTGATGTTGATTGTTGCGGTTTCCTTTGTATACATACCTGTATTTTCTACATTCAAAGAAAAAATAGTTAGTTTTAAAGGAGGGGAGGTTGATCTGTATCCATGATTTGGCGTAACGTGCTCCTTTGGCTTGCCATCCATACCTCTTCGAGCGTCTATTTTTTATAAAAGGGGGAAAGGAAAGAAAAATAATAATAATAATAATAATAATAATAATAATAATAATAATAAATAAAATAAATAAATATAAAAAAACTTTGGATTTTGAAATTATCATTTAATAAAAGTTGATGTCAAATCTTTGACCAAGGAATAGGTTGAGACTTTACAACGTCTGACTCAAAAGTGGAGCTATCATTTAATCTTCGTTGTAAGCTAATTGCTTGTTGAGAAGAAACTTTTGGTGAAATTTTGAGTTTACTCAAAATTTCTGCCCCAGTATGAAGATGTGCCAGGAGAAATCTTGATGGAATTTTTGAGATCCTCTCAAAAATTCTGCCCCAGTTATCCATAGAAAAGGGGAAAATGAAAGTTTTATTTATAATAAGACCGAACCCCATAAGAGCACCTACGTATGGCCTCTTAAACGGGAATTAGGTCTGACGTAGTTCCAAATTAAAAAAGAGCATGAATCAATCTCTAGATGTAATACATTTTCACGGAATCCGAATTGATAGGTTTTAGCCAAACTTCCCCATCCATTTCTGCAAGTATGAGGGCTCCGCCTGTCAGTACTCGAGAGACTTTGTACGAACCTTGCCAATTTGGTGAAAATTTACCCTTTGCCTTGTCTTGGTTTGGAAAAATCCGCTTTAAAACAAGTGGCCCAGGTGAGAAATGTCTGGGTTTAACCTACTTGTTGAAAGCTCTGGCCATTCTATTCTGAGAGAGCTGACCATGACAAATGGCTTTAATTCTTCTTTCATCTATTAATGCCAAATTCTCTGCCCGACCTTGTATCAAATCAGCATGACTCAACTTTTCTTCTTGGATGATCCTTTGGGAAGGTATCTCAACTTCGGCGGGTATCACAGCTTCAGTGTTGTATACTAAGAAGTAAGGTGTGGCCCCTGTGGAAGTTCTGATTGTGGTACGATACCCCAGAAATGCGAAAGGTAGCTTTTCCTGCCAGTGTTTGTGAATATCGATCATCTTGCGCAATATCCTTTTGATGTTTTTGTTTGCCGCCTCGACAGACCCATTCATCTGTGGCCTGTATGCTGTAGAGTTTCGATGACTGATCTTGAACTTCTCACATTAATCTCATCAGGTCACTCTTTAGGTTGGTGCCATTGTCGGTAATGATTGACTCAGGAACTCCAAACCTACAAATAATGTTGTTTTTGACAAAGTCATCCACAACTTTCTTTGTCATTGATTTATGGGAGGTGGCCTTAACACACTTGGTGAAATAGTCAATTGCGACAAGAATGAATCTGTGCCCGTTTGATGCTGTTGGCTCGATTGGACCAATGACATCCATGCCCTATGCTGCGAACGGCCAAGGTGAACTAGTGACATGGAGTTCGTTGGGAGGTACTCGAATCATATCTGCGTGAGTTTGACATTGATGACATTTCTGGACGTAGCGAATGCAGTCTGTCTCCATAGTTAGCCAATAATATCCTGATCTCAGAATCTTCTTTGCTAATGTAAAACTGTTCATGTGAGGGCCAGAGGTGCCTGCATGTATCTCTTCGACCAGCCTATGAGCCTCTCTTGCTTCGACGCATCTTAGCAGTCCCAAATCGGGAGTTCTCCTATAGAGGATTTCCCCACTTAAGAAGAATTGGGTTGCTAACCTTCGAATTGTACGCTTTTGTACACTTGTTGCATCTTCTGTGTATTCACCACTCTTCAAATATCTCTAATGTCATCATACCAGGGGTTTCCATTAGGCACTTCCTCAACATGGAAACAATAAGCTGGTTGTTCATGTATATGAATGTGAATAGGATCGATGTAATTGTGATCAGGGTGTCGAATCATAGAAGACAGAGTGGCTAAGGCGTCTTCAAATTTTTTTTGGACCCTTGGTACATGTCTAAATTCTGTTTTGACAAACCTTTTACATAGCTTGTGCACGCACTCCAAATATGGTAACAACTTTTGATTTTTTTTGTTGCCCAATCACCTCGAACTTGATGGATCAATAGGTCCGAATCCCCTATTATTAGCATTTCATAGACATCCAAGTCGATCGCCCGTCAAAGACCTAGTATGTAGGCTTCGTATTCAGCCATTTTATTTGAGCAAAGGAATCTGAGTTTCGCTGATACTGGATAATGTTGCCCGGTGGGTTAGATCAAAACAGCCCCGATGCCGCATCCATTCAGATTTTTAGCTCCATCAAAGAACATTCTCCATCAATCATATTTTTCAAAAATGTCCTCTCCCACAAAAGCCACCTCTTCATTTGGGAAGTAGGTCTTCAGTGGTCTGTAATCATCGTCCACGGGATTCTCTGCCATGTGGTCTGCTAATGCCTGTGCTTTCACTGCTTTTTGCATACCATACACTATATCAAACTCGCTCAACAATATCTGCCATTTTGCCAGTTTACCTGTGGGCATGGGCTTTTGAAAGATATACTTCAAAGGATCCATCCTTGAAATCAGATAAGTAGTATGCGATGAGAGTTAATGTCGTAACTTTTGGGCAACCCATGTTAGAGCACAACAGGTACGCTCTAATAGAGAGTATCGGGCTTCGCACGATGTGACTTCTTGCTCATATAATATATTGCTTGCTCCTTCCTCCCTGTTTCATCGTGTTGTCCCAAGATGCAACTGAAAGCATTATCCAATACTGAAATATACAAAAGTAATAGTCTACCTGACTCTGGTGGCACCAATACAAGAGGATTGGATAGATAGTCTTTGATCTTGTCAAATGCCTGTTGAGATTCACTTGTCCATTTCACTGCAGCATCCTTTTTTAACAGCTTGAAGATAGGTTCACAGATGACAGTAGACTGAGCAATGAAACGACTAATGTAGATAAGTCGCCCTAAGAAACTCATTACCTCCTTCATGCTCTTTGGTGGGGGAAGATCACGAATGGCTTTGATCTTCGACGGGTCCAATTCTATACCTCAACGACTGACAATGAAACCTAAAAGCTTTCCAGCAGGCACACCAAAGACACATTTTGCCGGATTCAGTTTCAGATTGTACTTGCGTAGCCTGGCAAAGAATTTCCGTAAATCTACCAAATGATTTAAAATTTCCTTTGATTTGATGATGACATCATCCACATAAACTTCAATTTCCTTATGGATCATGACATGAAACAAAGTAGTCATCGCTCTCATGTACGTAGCCCCAGCGTTCTTTAATCCAAAAGGCATCACCTTGTAGTTATAGACGCCCCACGGCGTGATGAAGGCGGTTTTCTCAGCGTCGTCTTTGTGCATCTCAATTTGATGATAGCCGGCAAAGCAATCCACAAATGAGTGAGTTTCGTGCTTAGCACAACTGTCAATCAGTATGTGTATGTTTGGTAATGGAAAGTTATCTTTAGGGCTAGCTTTATTGAGATCTTGGTAATCCACGCAAACTCTGACCTTGCCGTCGTTCTTGGGCACTGGAACGACATTTGCAAGACAAGTTGGGTATTCTGTCACATAAAGTATCCCAGCATCTAATTGCTTTGATACTTCTTCTTTGATTTTCAAACTCATCTCAGGCTTGTATTTTCTCAACTTCTGTTTTACCGGAGGACATGCTGGATCAGTGGGCAGTCGATGGGCTACGATTGAAGTACTTAGCCCTGTCATGTCTGCATAGGACCATGCGAAAATATCCTTATTCTCTATGAGAAACTCGGTGTACTCTTTCTTGTCTTCTTTTGTCACGTGGATGCTTACCCGGGTTTCTTGTATCACCTCTGCATTTCCCAAATTCACCACTTCTGTCTCTACCAAATTAGGATTGGGTTTTTCCTCGAACTCCTCAACCCTTTTGATTAACTCCTCGGGAACCTCATTGTCTTCGACTTCTTCTAAGTCATTAATGTTAAGTTGAGCAGTCTCATTGTATGCCATAGTCTCAGATTCGACATTTTTATAATGAATTTTGCTGGTGAGAAAAAAAATAGCAAAAAATTAAATGTAAGACAAAAAATGGGGAAAAGAACTTTATTGATAAAGATTTGAAAATTTCATAAGTCCTCATTCGAAAGCAATACAGGGGATGAGAATTAAAATGTTTATTAAAAACTCTTTTATTTGAATTAAAACTTGATAGAAAAACATCTTCCAAGGCTACCCCGATGCTCGACGAGGTCTGGATGGAGTCGAGGTCCAGTTGCTGACGCTGATCTTTGCTTCCTTGCTTCCACTAGGTCCCCCTTTCTCCTCCTCGTTGATCACTACGTTGCAAACTTTCCCCTCTTCTTTGGTTAGCGGTAACCCCTTCAAGTCGTCTGAGATCTCATCAATACTGCCTCTCATGAAACCTGCTGATCGAAATGATTGATAGATTGGCGGTATGGGTTTCTTCAATGGATAGTAGTACCCATCTCTAGGTGGTCGCCAATCGAGCCATTCTTTGGTGGTGTACTTATACCCTAAACCAAAAGTGGTGGAATGTCTAACAGGCTGTATAGGTTCGACTATCTCTTGTAATTCAGCCCCCAAACCTTTCCCAAGCTCAAAACCGAACCAGGCCATCATATCTATGATTTTTTCGCTGAACCAAGGTTGCAACTCAATATTACCAACAAGCTCCACTGTATGGTACATTTCGCCATCCATGTTCTCTCTTCATTCAATCGTGTATACAGGATGCCCTTTTTCTCCATGGACTACAACCTCTTCGTAATCCCATTCAAACATCAGGCATTGGTGAAGAGTGGATGGAACTGCTCCAGCCATATGAATCCATGGACGACCCAACAATAAGTTGTACGATGAAGGGATGTCCAAAATTTGGAGAGCTATGGGGAAAGTGACGGGACCAATGAGCATGTCCAAAGTTATTTCCCCAATAGTGCCACTCTGAGAGCCGTCAAATGCCCTCACATTCATCTTCCATGTCTGAATTTTTGCACTATCCACACCCAGCCTTGTCAGTGTGCTCAGAGGGCAAATGTTTAAACCTGAACCTGCATCAACTAATGCTTTGTTTATCACCTTATCCTGATACTGAACCGAAATGTTCAAAGCTTTATTGTGAGTTGTTCCTTCGATTGACAGCTCATCTTTGTGAAAAGATATTTTGTAAACCTCAAAGACCTACCCCACCATTTGGGATACCTCTCCATGAGTGATGTTAGATGGGACACAAGCTTCACCAAGGATCTTCAGAAGGGCATCTCGATGAGTTTCGGAAGATTGCAGTAACTCCAGAATTGATATTTGGGAAGGGGTTTTACTCAGCTGCTCAATGACAGAGTATTATTTAGCTTTGACCTTTTTCCAAATACTTTGATCCTCAAGCTCTACGACTGGTGCTTTGGATTTGCTAGAGCTTCCCTGAACCAAATTTTCAGAAGTGTAAATTCATCCAGATCTGGTGACCCGTGTTGCAACATCTGTCTCTTCCACATTTGTTTCTGTTTTGTTGTAATCCCAAGGTACAACATGTATGTCACATTGTATTGGGGAGGATGCCTTATAGACAGCGAACGGTGGTCTGGGTGCAGCAACTTCTACTTCAAATGGGGCGAGTCCATGCACTATTAGTGGTGCTTGGGCAGTGGTAGACATGGCTTCTTCTTTTTCGACAGCCCAGATAGATTCTTCCCAATCCCAGACATCACCAGCTTCCACCATGTTGAATTGATGGTTAGGGAGAGGATTATTTGCAACATTCGGTGTAGGATCCTTCAGTTGGATGGTTTTTGTATCAATCAACATTTGAACCTTATCCTTAAGGGCTCTGCAAACTTCGGTGGTGTGGCCCTTCATCCCAGAATGGTAGGCGCAGACCTTGTTAGGGTCGTACCATTTCGCGCGAACATCCACAGGTAATGCAGGAATTTGAGAGACGTACCCTGCCTGTTTCAGTCTCTCATAAAGTTGTGCTATGGGTTCAGCCAAAAGGGTATAGGTTTTTGTAGGTCTTCTTTCATAGGAAGGCCTGTTTCAGTAATTTGGTGTTTGAGTGGGTGGTGGAGTTTGGAAGTGTGTTGTTTGAACATTATAGATCGGATTTGAGGCATGCAAATATTGAGGAGGAGCGTTTTGGTAATATATTGGCATGGGTTGGGGAGATATAGGGGGTGGAGCTGAGGGATGTTGAGGGTATGGGGTGTGAGGGTATGGGGATGGCGGTGGGTTTATTGTCTTGTGCCTCAAAGGGGTCCTAGTTCCATGAGCCATCATTACAGAACCTGCTTTCTTTCGACTCTCTATCATTCCACCAGACTGCAGAGCCTTGTTGGTTGCTTGTAAAGCCTCCAAGTTGATGATAGTCCCATTCTTTATGCCTTCTTCAATTCTTTTGCCTAGTTTGATGATTTCATCGAAACTCTTTTCAG